AGCATGACAGTCTGAAATATCATGACACGGAGACAACCTATTCATGACAAATATCACATCAAAATCAATCATGCTAAGCAGCAACAAATCAACCTAGTCTTTAATCCCTCAATAGTCACCACACATGATCGATATACAAGGTCCACAATGACAGTATCGCCCACCGGAGTAGATACATAAATAGATGAAGCTAAAGACTCACAGGGAATATCCAGATAATGTGAAAAATACGATGATACATATTTAAAGGTGGAGCCAGGGTCAATTAATACAAAAGCATCTCGGCGACATACTAAGGCCATACCTGTGATCACTGTGTCTAAAGCAATAGCATCTGATCTGGTAGGGAGTGCATAAAAATGGGCCTGACCACCACCTGATCGGCCTTCCCCTCTAGAGAAAAGCCTAGCTGACTAAGCTCCACCCCGAGCTGGATGAGCGGGTGGCGAAGTAACTGGTGCTGAAGTCGAAGGTTGACCCCTCTGCAGCTGAGCTGGACCTCTCACTAGGTGGGGACACTCTCTCCTGATATGACCAAACTCTCCACACTCATAGCAACTCCTCGGTTGTGGTGGGGACTGAAGAGAGCCCCGAGCACCGGGATAACTGGTAGAAGAACCTGGCATGGATGAAACCTAAGCTGATGGTGCATGAGTCAAACTCTGAGCTGGGAGGGCACTAAGAGATGAGTGGCCCTGATGTGAACTGTGAGAACCATGGCCAGATGATGCACCACTTTGAACTAGGCGGGCCGTCTGAGCATGCTTGTAAGGACTACCTCAGACGTGGTGGAACTGAGCTCCAGAGGGAACACCACTAAAACTACCTGACCCTCTAGGCCTCTTGGCCTCGCTCTCAACCTGCTGCTGACAGTGAATAGACTCTATCTCCCGAGTGATATCAGCAACCTCTTCAAAAGCAGCACCAGGCATTTTTACAGTCCACAACCACGAAACAATCTACTCACAAGAACTGCCAGTCTCCAAATCCATAGAGCATACAAATCACCATCTCTGATCACAACTCCACCGCTTGAATGTGCACACTTCTCCTATTACACGGTCATCCCACGAGTAATAATTGTAAAATTCTTCTGTGCCACAAAGTAAAATTTGAACTCTAACAGTCGATCAAACAAGAGAGTGTCGCTATACTAATAAAGTATCCATAACTCAAACACATCGCCCTTTCTGAAATATATACTCTCTCAAGCCATAAAATTAATATTATCTATTTATCTAATGTATCTTCTTATATCCGCAGCTTCCTCCTATATCGATTCTACCCATCGTTCCAAGTTGGTGCATGAAACTCCCGCAAACTTTCTTCTAACCTCCTCGTGGCTTTTGAACTCTTCTCGTTCAAGTTGCACGCAAATGCTATAGTAGCTCAGTTATCAGTTACTTGCGGCAGCATCATTCTCTCACGTTAGAATCTACGAATTCTCTAAGAAATTATGTACTCCCTTGTTTAACTTTGATGATATCCTCCATCCATTTTTCAACTTTGTGAGCCCCCAAATGCGCCTTTATAATTGAATCTGCAAGCTCAGCAAAATAATCAATGGAGTTTTCAGGTAAGAGTGAGTACCATGTTAACGCCCTTTGTGAGAGTTTCACCAAATTTCATAACTAAAACCGATTCAATCTCCTGCTTGGTTAAATCATTACCTTTCACATGTGTTGTGAACGTAGTAACGTGATCCCATTGGTCAGATGTCACGTCATACTTAGGAATATCAAGAATTTTAAACTTTTTGGAATTGGCAAAGGTGCTGCACTTGGCTTCCAGGGTTGTTGTTGAATACTTGTCAATATCCACACCTTTGATCGTAGGAGGCACTCAAGGTATTTTTTCTATGCGCTCATTTTGCTCCTTCAACTGTTTCTGCAAAGTTAGTACTAAACATTGTAAACTAAAATTATTAGGTGTACTTGACCCTCCATTGCGAGATCCACTTGGCATTTCTCCACTTCCAGAGTTATCAATTCCTGAACGCAGATTCTCCAAGGTGGTTGTATTAACTGGTGGTCGAGTTTGTGCAGCGTTGGGTAATCCTCTAACAAAAGCATGTAGTGCTTCGTTCACGTATTCTGCAATAATTGCTTCAAAGCATCCTGCTCAATGGTCTGGTGACCTCTAAGTTGTCCATCAGTGCACGAGGCAGACCTTTCAGGTGAACTTTCACGTGAGTGTTGAGGTGTAGTCGTGGGTGTTTGATGTGGTGGAGTTCCATCTTGTTGATTCAGCTAGTTGTTCTCGTTAGAAATAGACATATTTTGTTGCTAAAAATGAAGTTTCAAAAGTGAACAGATTATCAGATTCCTGGTAATGAAACCAATTTATTTAATCCAAAAATAGATATCTCGGCCAAAGTCAATATAAAAAAAAAATATCGGGTTATTGATAACCAAACTACTTTACTTTCTTGGTAATCTAAAGAATAAAGAGAATAATGGAACTAATAAACAGGGAAAGAAAACTCAAAGCAGATCGCAAATATTTCCCACAACTACGATTTGAGCCTTTTGAATAACGTAAAAGTATAATTGCATATATTGATAAAAATTTGGATATCATTACAAATGAGGACTGAATCCTTATATAATGGTACTTATTTATATGGTTTCCCAACTTAATTCTGGCTTGTTAATGGTAGTTATTTTTTCTTGATTGCTCGTTACCATATATAATTGTAACGACAGCATTAGTGACTGTCCTCGTAACCACGATCAATGTTGATTTTCCTCCCTTATTTACAACAGATTCATGAACCTTCCCTCTTTATGGTCTTTAACCATTCCTCTCCTATTTCTTCTTTTCCAGCTATCAGGAATAGTGTCTCTCTAATAAAACTCTGGGGATGTTTCTCCCGCGCCTTCTTTAATTCTTTAATTCGCTTGATTGAAAGTGTCATTTGTCACCTTGATGGTAGTCCACGTGTCATGCTTTTTTTTTTTTACCAATACACTGAATCCTTATATAATGGTACTTATTTATATGGTTTCCCAACTTAATTCTGGCTTGTTAATGGTAGTCATTTTTTCTTGATTGCTCGTTATCATATACAATTGTAACGACAGCATTAGTGACTGTCCTCGTAACCACGATCAATGTTGATTTTCCTCCCTTATTTACAACAGATTCATGAACCTTCCCTCTTTATGGTCTTTAACCATTCCTCTCCTATTTCTTCTTTTCCAGCTATCAGGAATAGTGTCTCTCTAATAAAACTCTGGGGATGTTTCTCCCGCGCCTTCTTTAATTCTTAATTCGCTTGATTGAAAGTGCCATTTGTCACCTTGATGGTAGTCCACGTGTTATGCTTTTTTTTACCAATACATGAAATTCTTTATTAGGAATAACTTCTTCCATTAATTTATGCGCGGAAGTCCTAGTTACTCTACCTTTAATGTATGTAAAACTTTCAAAGTATATAAAATATTTATTACGGCAATAAGTTATAATTCAAGTAAGATGAGCTTATGCACAAGCATTTTTGCATAAAAACTTGACTCCTATAAGATTTGTTGAGAAAATGACAAAACTTGTCATTTTTACGAGATACATATTTAAGGCCCTTATGAAAATATATTGGATATTTTTAAAATTTAACCGTATGAGAATCAACTTCAGATTTAACTTGAAAAACGTGTTTGAAGTGTCAAAGTGTCTAGAGTTGGTATATTGAGTGTGCAATCCCAACTTCAGACATTTAGGTCTGAAGTTTGAAAACTTCAAGCAAAAGATCTGAAGTTGGGGACAGAAATAAAACCGACACTAATAAATTTCATTTTTAGATCGAACGGGTCAATTTCAAAGAAAATCATTGAATTCTCGTATTAATTAGAACTATTGAAGAAGAAATTAAAGCTAAGAAATGAAAGTATCTTATTGTGCGATAGCAGTGGATTGTACAGTGAGGTTTTTGAATAATAACGGGAAAGAAAGTGGTAAAAATTTATCTGATGTTTACACATATCACTTTATTAATTACAATTATCAGTATTCCAACAATAGTTAACTATCATATTCTTTGTACAAATAATACTAAAAATACTTAATAGTCTTGGAAATCTCTGCTATGCTCCTAACCCTAACTTAACAGATGAATATTTTCTTTTGCACGTTTTATGCCACCCTAAGCCATCATTGGCCAATGGCTATTTACAACAATCCAACATGAAATATTTTCTTCTACAAGTTGTAATTATCATTAATTACATAAATATTTTTAAATTTAAAAAGAATATAAATATATAACTAAAAAAATATTTATCTTTGTATATTCTTTAGTATAACAGATCTGAAGATTAACAGGCGGATTTTTTTTACAAAAGTGCACTCTGCTTTGCACAATAAAAACTGTATTTCTCCAATTCAAATCATTTCCATATTAATGTTAATGTTTCATTATGTTTCATTCAGTTACAGTCCTTGACCAACTAAACTTCATATCAATTTTAACCATTTTACAGTTAATCTCTATTGAGTTGTTCATTGAAAAATTCATTCTCAGAGAAGTATTTAATAAACGCGGGTAGGTTTTTACCTTCTGAAGGGATTACATTGAAAAAATGATGACGCAAATATTAAGAATTAAAGCACATTAGATCGGAAAAAGGGGGAAATATCAAAAGGAGGGGGATTATAAGATACTCTATAGGCAGATTCATTATTTTATAATAAAAAAAAGGAGGGGGATTATAAGGCATAATATGAATATGAAACTACTTTCTTTTATTTATTTCAAAAATATCTATTGTTTATTTGGCAAAATTAATTTTTGGTACGTAAAATACGTTTTAAATATCTTTATTTCTATTTAAAAAGGAAAAAAGAAGAATAAAATTGGAAGGAATATCAAAAGTTCAGCAAACAATGATGAAATTTCTTATTACAATTACGATGGTTAAGTACATACTTAGGTAATTAATCTAGATCACTGAAATAAACATAAAAATCCAAGTAAGAATTTGGGAAATTGAGACACTAGAAAATGAAGGATAGTAAGATTCGTAATATACGCATGACATTGCCTATTAAGTTACACAGTTCAAGCCGATGAAATACAACACTTTCAAGACAGTCCAAGAAGCATCCTCAATAAAATTAAAAAAAAAAGATTTATACTCAAACGTATTCTTTTAAACGTAAAATTATGCCCATGTTTTATTGAAGAGAAAACTCACACGGGATATCTTTGAGAAATTATTCTTCTGCAACTACACTTATTTCAATATCTTTCCCTAGTAAGTCATAACTTTTCTTTAGGGAAAAGAACGTAAAAGAAAAACAGATCATATGTTGCAAACAAAAAAAAAACAGATGAATACGTAAAATGTGAAATTCTACGAGGAGCTCTAACAGGACACTGATGCACCATTTTGCACCTTTTAGGACCACCAACAAGCGCGCACAGCAAGTATCACATCACCATTATAAATCCCAGAACATTTGCAGCAAGTCCAGCAATCAGAGCAATCATCGTCAGATGTGCAATATCTCCAACAGGTAGAGAGTTGTGGGAGTAATCTTCTTTTTAGTTCCGAGTTATCATAATCAACACCATTTGCAGCCATAACTTGTTTATTTGAGAACCACAACACATTAACTGTAATATTTCACAATATATCAAAATCAAAATATAATAGCATAACTTTAATAAATAAAAACAACATTGTAACTACAAACGTATGCAAATTATTGTACTAAAGATGCATATATATATATATATATATAGTGACAAGAACAGTAATGTAGAATTACGATATAAAAATTAAGTGAGAAAGATACTAACAAGTAGCTCCCATGAGAAGAATAGTCACAAACGAAAACTTAAATATTGACATGTTAAAAATAGTATAACGCTTTTTGTTTGAACATCTTATTGCTTTTCAAAGATGTAATTTATAGACCTTGTCCTGTAATAATATGATATGTACCTCTCTCATTTTGTTTTCTATATTACCAATTGACTTCATTTTTATGTGCAAGTGCTACCTAAATAATGCAAGTTGTAAATAAAATTTTACTTTCTTCCGCACCTGTTGAAAAAAAAGTCAACTAGATTTAAATCAAATGTAGTATAATAAGATCATTACAGTTAGAAATTATCCAACAAATATTTAACTTTTCACATTCGACAAACTTTTACATTATTGCTTTTTTCTTTGTCGGTACTAATTTCGCACTTTAACTGATAGACTTACAAATTAAATTATATTTTGAAAATAAAGTTTAGATATTTGAAAAAAAAAATTACATTATACATTACGATCTTTTCATCATAAAAAATGATGACATAGCTCTTCCCGAAAAATCAAGTATATATTTTTAAGACGCTTGAGAAGCGACACAATATGTTGATTTTTTTTTAAAGGGTAAGATGCTTATATTATATTATATTATAACTTACGACATTATCTTAGGGACAATGTCCCATAGAGCTGCCGTTAATACATAGTTAGTTCATACCCCCTAAGGCATTTTCATTACCTAGGGAGGCCAAAATATTACATGTAGATGAACACAAGTCCGGAAACTAATACAACCATCCTTATCAGCTGAATACACATTAAGAGAAAATTAGGAGGCTCCGCAAAATAGCTAGTAATATTATAGCTAGGATAAAGTAGTGCTTCCTTGGCTAGTTGGTGTGCAACTTTGTTCCCCTCGCGAAAGTTATGCTTCAGTCCGATCTCCCCCATCTCCATTAGCTTCGCCGTGAAGTACCTGCACTCATTAAGCAAACTAGTGTAAGTAGGATAATCTTCATGCATGAAACGTATGACCTCAGTAGCGTCCGTTTCTATTTCACATGGTATGAAATTTTCTTGTATAATCGTTTCCAATGCTTGTCGAAAGGCCAGCAGTTCAACATGGATTGGGGTTATGCATTCACATTTTTTGTAATATCCACCATTTTCCTCTATTGTTTCTTATGACTCCACTATGCCACAATGTAGATTTTCTTCAGCGAAAGCTCCATCAATGTTTATCTTATACCAATTGTACATACATATATACATATATTATACGTAATTATGAGGAAAACGATTGCTGTAGCTTATAATCGATCTTTCTATTTACCTTAAGCTACATATGTTGAATAGTAATTATGAAAATTCTTAAAGATATTCTATTTCTTCATGTTGGCGCTAATCAACATTTTTCTTCTAATTTTGGCAACTGAGCTTTTCATGAGATGTTTAATTATTGGAGTTGGACTTAGTCTACAAATTGGATAACAAATTACAAGGTTTGATGTGCATGTGACACGTCGTATTCGGAAAAGCATGTGAGAATCGATGCACTTGTTTCTCATTCGTTGTACAATAGTACGTTAATCCATGTGATTATTATTTATTTTCAGTGATTTGAACTAATATTTTGTATATTTTTTAAGTTCCACCTATAATGCGCAGTGAATGGTGGATCTATAACATTTTACAATCTAATATGCCAAAATGAGAGATTCTATTAAACTAATTATCCACTTAATTAAAAAACATTAATTGCACCCTATCAGTATGAACTTTAGTTAAGGAATAATTATAAGCTCTAACTAAAGTTTCAATATGTGATGACCCAAAAGGTCATCACTTGTTTTAAAAATAAATTCTGCGTTCCGAGGCCTTAAAATCTCCTTCGGCATCACCTCGATTTGCGTGCGCATTCCGGGCACGTAGCCGGAAAGCCATTTTGTGAAAATATGTGAAAAATGTTGAAATTTTGACTAAAAATGCATTTACGTTGACTTCGGTCAACATTTTGGGTAAACGGACCCGCACCTGTGATTTGACTGTCCCGGAGGGTCCGTGGAAAAATATGGACTGGGGCGTATGCCCGGAATCGAATTCCGAGGTCCCAAGCCCGAGAAATGAATTTTTAAAGAGAATTGTTTTTTGGAAATTTTTATGAGTTTTGGAAATGAAATGCATTTTGAAATTGATGGTATCGGGCACGTATTCTGGTTCCGGAGCCCAGTACAGGTCTTATATGTGAGATAAGATGAGTCTGTGAAATTTGGTAAGAAACGGAAGTCGTTTGAGGTGATTCGGACCCGTAGTTGTGAAAATTCCTACTTGGAATGTTTTGAGATTTTTCGTAGATTTCTATGCTAAATTCGTTGTTTAAGAGGCTATTTTGGCGATTTGATTGCACGGATAAGTTCATACGATGCTTTTGAGTTAGTATGCATGTTTGGTTTGGAGCCCCGAGGGCTCGGGTGAGTTTCGGGTAGGTCTCGGAAGGTTTTTGAACTCATAAAAGTTGCAGGTTCTTCAGTTTCTTGTGTTCTGGTATGTCCTTCTTCGCGTTCGCGGAAGGACTCTCGCGAACGCAAAGGGTTAGTCAGGGTGAAGGAAATCTCCTTCTACGCGAATGCGAGACACAGGACGGGAACACGAAGCTTTGGGGGTGTTTCCCTTCGCGAACGAGGTCCTGCTATCGTGAACGCGAAGGCCTTTGGGCCTGGGCAGAGGGAAGGGAGTTTTGTGCTACGCGAACGCGGCCACTGGCCCGCGAACGCGAAGGCTCGAGGAGTTAAAGCTCCGCGGACGCAAGCCGACGAACGCGAACGCGATGGCTAATTGGTCTGACCCATCGCGAATGCGATGGCTAATTGGTCTGACCCATCGCGAACACGACAGACCCATCGCGAACGCGATGAAGGTCTGTCCAGTGATTTTAAAACAGAAGCAAAAATGGGATTCTTCAAAATTTTCATAACTCTTTCACTTAAACTCGAACTTGGGCGATTTTTGAAGAGGGATTTCACCACAAAACCATAGGTATGTATTCTTAAACTTCTTTTCTTCAATTTTCGTTAACACCCATTAGATTTGTAGGCCTAAATCATGTTCTTAAGGGTAAAAAATTAGAGATTTGGGTAGAGTTAGGGCTTTTTGATTAATTGGGATTTAGACCTCGTTTTAGGGTCGGATTTCGAAACTTATTGCATATTTGGGCTCGTGGGTAAACGGGTTTTGGTCCGAACCTCGAGTTTCGACTAAGCGGGCTCGGGGTCGATTTTTGACTTTTTGGGGAAGATGATGGAAAACCTATAATTTAGCTTTGGGATTGGATTATTTAGCATTTATTGATGTTGTTGTATTAATTTGAATTAGATACAAGTAATTCGGAGGCGGATTCTAAAGAAAAAGCGATGTTTGAGGCTTGAGTTAGCCGTGGAAGTTTGAGGTAAGTGTTTGGTCTAACCTTAGCTTGAGGGATTAGGAGTGTGTCCTATTTGCTACGTGTTACTTGTCGAGTACGACGTATAGGCATGGTGACGAGTATCTATACGTCAGTGTCGAGCATGACCGTGAGTCTTAAATTGAAATTTTTGTGTTCTTGAGAAAATAATACGAGTGCCTAAGTTGTTGATTCTCTGTGTTGCGCAAGGTTTATCATTATTCTCGTGGAGATTACTTATGATTGAGTATTGGTGCTGGTTGAGGCAGTTAGATGTTGGAACAAGTTTGGTTATAGGTGATTTCCCTTGCCGGGACGTATTTACTTATACCATTGATTCTCTTGCCGGGATAGTGTTGTTTCCTTACTGGTCCCTTGCCGGGTTCCTTGTTGTGATTTGTGTTGAAAATATTATATTTGGATCGGGTTGCACGTCACAACAATGATATGAATGGGTCGGGTTGCACGCCCCAACAACTATATAAATGGGTCGGGTTGCATGCCATAACAACTATATAATTGGATCGATTTGCACGCCGCAATAGTGATAAATGATATGGATCGGGTTGCACGCCGCAACAGTGATATTATGTTTTGGAATCGGGTTGTGCGCCGCAACAATTGATAACATAAAGTGTTTATAGCTTGGTTGTGATTTCCTTATTATTTGGTTGTAAATTCTAAGTTGTCCTCATGCCTTTCCTTTAATTTACTGTTGGTACTAATATTCTCCCCGCAGCATGTACCCCCCCATCTTTACTTGTTTATTTTTGTTTAATGTCCGCTGCGTAGCATATATATATATAACTGCATAGGTTTATTTGGTAGTCTGGTCCTAGCCTCGTCACTACTTCGCCGGGGTTAGGCCAGGCACTTACCAGCACATGGGGTCGGTTGTACTGATACTACACTCTGCACTATGTGCAGATCCCAGAGCGACAACTTTTGGACCATAGTTTGGGGAGGCAATCTTCAGTCCAGTCAGAGATCCCGAGGTAGTCCTGTAGACGTCCGTAGGCCCGGCGTTCTCTTCTATCTTTGTTTGCATTCTGTTTTCATCTACTTCCGAGACAGACAGTACTTTTCTTCCAGACATTTGTATGTAGTATTCGTAGACAGTCCGTGATATTGTGACACCAGATTCCGGGTCGAGATGTATGTTGGCATAGTCGTACTGGTTATGGTTTAATTTATCAGATTAAGTCTTCCGCTCGTTTTTATTTATCGTTAATGCTTCACTGTTGATCACGTGTTAGTTTAAAAAATTAACAAGGGCTAATAAATGAGTTAATAATTCTACAATACGTGGCTTGCCTAGCTTCCACGAGTAGACGCCATCACGACTCCCGAGGTTGGGAAATCCGGGTCGTGACAAGTTGGTATGAGAGCTCTAAGTTACATAGGTCTCACAATTCGCGGACAAGCTTAGTAGAGTCTGAGGGATCGGTACGGATACGTCTGTATTTATCCTTCAGAGGCTACAGAGTTAGGAAAAGTTTCACAATTATTGTTTCCTGTCGTGCGGTTTGGTTTCTCAATGCTAATTGAATTTATACTCTGTTCTTTCGCAGATGCCGAGAACACACGCTTCCTCATCCGCTGATCAGCAGTCCGAGCCCTCAGCAGCAACTCCCACGAGGGGCAGAGGGTGAGGCCGAGGTAGGGGCAGAGCTCAGCCCGGAGCAGCAGCACCAGCACCAGCGGCCGAGCCTCAGGTTGACTTTGATGATGAGG